TATAGCTCACTCCTGCCCCCCCATGCCCAGCCCTGAGACTATAAGGGCACACATCCAATCCTGCCTGCTCCCCTCCCTTTAGTTTTTCTGAGGCAGGGTTTTTTCTATGTAGCCCTGGCTATCCTGGAACTCACTCTGTAGATCAGGCTGGCCTCAAACTCAGAGATCCTCTGCTTCCTAGTGCTGGGATTAAAGGGGTGCGCCACCACTGCCCAGCTTTTTTTTTTTTTTCTTTTCTTTTTAATGAGTCTAAGGCTCTAACTCCGGTCTTCTGTACTGGCAGAACTATCTTCCCAGCTCCTTTAACTTTTAAAGGATGACAAGATTCCCACCTATGGGCCAGATTTCCCTAACGGTGCAGTGTTTGCCCTCTGCTTCTTACTCAGGCTAAGTCCAACCCCCAGACCAGAGGTGCAGTCATGAGGCACCCATCTTACAAAAGAAGAAACAGAGGCTTAAGTCGGAGAAATAATTAGAGTCAGCCTAAGCATGGCAGTCCCCACTGCCCTCAATCAGCACTCTGCCTTCCTCCAGGGGCATGTTGGGAGAGAGCCCAGGCTATAGACCAGAAAGAGCCTCTGTACTGGGCAACCCTGGCCCCCAACTTCCTGACTGGTCCTTGCTCTTCTCAAAGGACCCACACAGGAGAACTTCTCCCCCTCCAGGAGGGTTCCTAGCCCCCAGGTTTGGGGCACTCTAAGCCCTTCCAGTTCAGCACTATGACACTGATCCAAATTCTCTGTACGAGGGTGCTCTAAAGACTCCCACCCCGGGTCTGTCCAGGAGGCCTGTAGTCTGTCTTGGCCGCCCTAGCCCCACTCACCATGAACACAAAGATGGACACACAGCACCATCCAAGCACGAGGTAGTAGCCAATCTTTCCAAAGAGTAGGCCCATGAGGACCCCGCCGATCATCCTGAGAGCGGGGAGAGAGCGGGCTGAAGAAGAGGCCAAGGTCTGGGGCTGGCAGGCAGGGCAGGAGCACTCACCCGACATATTTGTAGCCCAGGAAGGCCACCAGGTCGATGGTGGTGAGGTCAGTGTTGACGGTGACCAGGTAGAGACTGAGCAGGATGGCTACCACCTCCAGGGTCAGCCAGGCCAGTGCCGAGCTCGCCTGTAGTCCCAGGAGGTCTGGGGAGAACCTGCCAAAAGTGACAACCACACTTGCTGTCATGGGGCTGATGGCTTGGGTGTCCGTGGGATATCCCCTGGGACGGTCCTGTGCAGAGGGCCACTGGAGATGGGGCAGGGACAGCCACCAAGGATGTGGGTCTGTCCCCAGACAGTGACGCCACAGTTTGAATGGGAGTCCTCTGAGCCCTATGTGGGGGGTACCATGAGGTTCCTCCTTAAAGAAAGGACAGCTGGACTGAAGTATGAAGGAAAAGGCAGGAGCTGGTGGGGTAGGGTCTTGGTCTCTGCTCCATCCTGGAGCCTCAGCCAAAACCCACTGGTTCTCCTGACACTTGTTTGCGGTGCCACAAAAGGGAAGGAATCTGCTGCGAGGGAGAGGTGGGCCCGATAGCCTGCAGGTTGGGACCCAGGATGGGAACCACAGCGGATGGGCACATATAGGCAAGAGCACATTCCTGAGTCGAGGTACTAACTGGGTGTGCAAGGGCCCCGAGATGGCAGCAGTGTGAGGCTGGGTGAGCAAGGCAGTGGGAAGAATCAGGGGCTTGATCCTCGAACCACAGATGGGTGGACAGAGAAATGGGGTAGGGGGAGGCCAGGATCACCCAGACCACTCTTCCAGCTGCTACTAGAGCAAGAGCACACGGGGGTGATGGTGGGAAGCAGCTCATTTAGGGGACTGTGAACATAAGGACGGATCTGTGGGTGGAGGCCAGAGGAAGGAAGGGTGGATTTAGAAGGTTACCCAGGGTATGCTGGGCTTCATGTGGGTGGGTGAAGGATGTCACTCACTGAGGTGTGACAGCAAGGTGTGGCCTCACATCTCTACTGCAATCCCTTGCTCCAGGATCCTTACCTGTCCTGGGTCCCCAGGGCAAGGCCAGCCACCAGGATGTAGGTGATGAAAGCCATGGCTGTAAAAGGCAGACACACAGACACTTGTCAGAGGAGGGAAACCCTGCTTGGGCATCAGGCACCCAAACATCTAGCCCAGACACGGCCCGGCAGCGGTGGGAGAGTGAAACCTGGAATGTAGAGGTCTGGAGCGTTGATGTCAAAGCGGGGGGCCACTGGGGTATCCTGCTGGTACTGCACCTCCCAGTCCTGCGGAGAGAGATGGGACAGTGGCAGGACCCCAGGATGAGGTCCCTCCACCCTGCTTCCAGGCGGGTGCTGAGTGGTGGTTGATGCTGACCTGGTGTAGGTAGGGAAAGACGAGCAGGCCCAGCTTCTTGCCCACGTACACAGTGTCCACGGCGAAGTAGTACTTCAGCTTGGTGACAGGGATGAAGCGGTCAATCTGGGGAGGCAAAGCTCAAGCCTAAGGCCCTGTGGCCCCTGCCTGCCCCTCACCCACTGCCCTCAGCCCAGCCTACTCACATTCTTGTCTACCAGCTCCTTGCCGTGAGCAGCCAGGCTGCTCCCGTAGGCCATCGCCATGTTGGACATAGGGTCAGCCAGGAAGGCTGCTTCGGGTGAGGAGGAAGGGGAGGGGGAGCCCAGGCCACCAGGTGATGGCTGGGCTCCGTAGCCCCGGTTCGGGGCCGAACTCGTGTCATCGAAAAACTGGTGGGGATCAGCCATGCCTGGCTGGGACACCGGGACCCTCCGCTTCGAGGCTGCAGAGAAAAATGGAGGGAGCTCATTGATTCTGAACAGGTCCACCACCTGCTCTGGCCACAGCTGGGGCAAAGGTCACCAAAATAGCCGTGGTTGTGATGTCAGATGGGCTGCCATCCGGGCACCCACCCACTCACCTGCCGTCATCACCCTTCACTGATCCACCTGTCGCCTACCTACCCACCATTCACTCCCATTTTCGTTTGTCTAGACAAATGAGGATGGTGGTGACGAGGAGAGCTCACGGTCCGGGTGCCTACCCCGTGTAAAATCCCGTGCTACCATTACAGACGGAGCCCCTGTTCCCACTCCTTCCACACTTGACTTCCCTTAGTCCTCACCGCTGGGCGTCTCAGTGTTCCCTAACACACCTGGCACACACTCAGCTCAGGGCTTCTGTCCTTGCCACGCCTCAGCCTGGCACACTCTCAGGCTCTCTGCTCTCTTCCCCAAGGCCATGCTGCATGCAGGGCGCCTGTCTCAGCAGCACCCACCTGTCCCCCCCACTGGTGGGCAGCACTGAGCATCAGCTGTTTCTTTCCT